CTTATTATAATTGTACTATAAAGGACCCCAAAACCCCTATAGCAATAGCAATAACGATAACAATATCGGCAATGGTCACAATTTCACAACAGCACGAATGTAATTATTCTTAGTAGTAATAACAGTAACAATAACAACAACAATACTAGCAATAAGACCAATCGTGTTCAGTTTTACAACCAGAAGCTACATAAAATAGCAGTAACTTCTTAACATATCAACTGAATACTAGCATGGTTAACAGTTACAAAGACAATGCCAACAACAATAAGACTAGCAGTTCCAATAACACTAGCAATAACAATAACAAGACCCCTAGCAATAGCAGAAATAACCAGAACAGAAAAAGTAGTAGTAATAGTAACATCAAAAAGCTATTATCAATAGCCGTAGTAATAATACCACCAAAGTCTAGTCGGGGAGTCTAGGAGAATAGGGCGGAGCAGACACCAAAAGCTTGATGAGGCTAGATCTGAGTTTTCCTTACTTGATCTAAAGGGTATGAGGGCAATGATGTTTCAATTTTCTTTCTTCTACTTGTCACTTCAAGTTTCTCAGGCCGCGTATACCGTAAACCCAATGTTTTTGAAGGCATGGAGTTTAGAGAGGGTTTTTTGCGATGAAGCAGAAGCAGGTGCTCTGTCACCCTGCAAACCCCCAATTAACGCCGAACCCAACCTCTGGCTTAGGGTACACTCTTGCGGCCCTAATCAGAAAAGCCGAACCCTTAAAGCCGAACCCTTAAGCTACGAACACGAGTTGTTTCCTCAAAGCCTCGCTGCAGGCCGCCGCCAAGGGCAAAGCAAAAGCGAAGTCCAAGGCCAAGGCTCCGAACCAAATGTGGGGTTAATATAGAGGCCAAAATCATTACCTACTATACTATTTTGGGGGCTCTTTAGTACAATTAATCTACATTATACCCCTAACCCTGTTCTAAGTTTTTAAGGCCCCTAGGGTTTAGGGTTTAGGGCTTAGGTTGGTTGGTTGGTTGGTTCAAAGACACAAAACGGTTGTCAATTTTAAAACCGCGCCACCTGAAACGGGTGTGTGTGCCTTCCCCAAAGCCTGAAGCGCAGAGAGAACCGAGACAAGTTTGAACTGAATATACCCGAGACCCTAAGCAGCACAACCCTAAACCCTAAACCTTCAAATCCTGAACCCTAAACCCTAAACCCGAAAATCCTTAACCCTAAATCCTAAACCCGAAAATCCTTAACCCTAAATCCAAAACCCGAAATCCTAAAACCTAAATCCCAAACCCGAAATCCTAAACCCTAAATCCCAAACCCTGTGAACCTGAAGACCTCTAGGCCAAAGCAGACGCTTAGCCGATGCAGGCCCTGTGCCTCGAAATAGCTAGAGTTTAGGGTTTAGGTTTAGGAGTTTAGGGTTTAGGTTTAGGGGTTTAGGGTTTAGAGTTTAGGGGTTTAGGGTTGAGGGTTTAGGGTTTAGTTTTGAGGGTTTAGGGTTTATAAATAGAGTTTAGGGTTTAGGTTTAGGGTTGGGTTTAGAGCTTAGGTTTAGGGCCGTTTAGGGTTTAGGGTTTGGGGTAATTACCGTTTCTAGGCTGCGGACACCAAAGCAGGGCCGTAATAATTCTGAAAGGGCTCTGGGGCATTTTTAGACTCTAATCGTGATGGGGACCCCCTCAAAAAATAGTAGGTAGTTATTTAGGTCCGTGTAGCACTCTATCCTTGAAGCCTTAAACTTGAGATACCATGTCGTGGAAGAGGGGATGGATGTTCTTGGAAGGGTCGCCTGCTTTGTGGGCAAGATGTCTAGCCCTAAGGGTCCATGTGCCCAAATACTATATTATACATTCGCCCCAAAGTACCTATATAGGGACTACTTTAATGCCAAAGTATATACTAGTTGGGCACATGGACCCTTAGGGTAGCATCTGGAAGCAAATTCTTTGTCCTGGAGTAAGCAACGTACCCTTCAGACGGTTGATGGTTCAGGCACTCCGGCTCGGAGATACAGGCCCCGGGCCGTTGCGAAGCAGTCGAGAGTGCGCAAAAGAACCCTAAACCCTAAACCC